GTGTGATAGTGGCTTACATAGTATAGGAGTAGCCAACCACTTTCTGATTGGCTCTACGGTTTGCCCCATGAGATGGAAACCATGTGTGTTAACAGGGCCAAGAACCAATGGATTATAGGTCATAGGCCCTAAGGGAGAACCTATCACTATTATTTTGGTAAATGTATTAAAATGACTTATCACCATAGTCATAGATTAGTCTCTCTCATCCCTTTTCAGATAAGCTCTTCCTACAGTCGATGGAAACTGACAAAGAGACCCACAACTGCTCTATGTGTAGAAAATAAGGAACCGGAGAGTGCTGAGCCCTCAATGTAACACAGGTGTCACACTCTCCCTGCGCTCAGGGATCTTTGAGGATGAGGAGGCAGGAGACTCCAGAGTGGGTGGGTGGGAGAGTGAGGACTGAAAGGTGATTGCAGGAGATGGGTAGATGTGATCTAAGCACACTGTACGATATCCTCAAAGCAATAAAAACATGTAGAAAGATGGCAGTGTTTCTAATCACAGTGGCCTCGGATGGAGGCTATGGCTGCATTCTGTCCCTAGAGAACCCTAAATCCTCCCCCTAAAATCGATTACAAAAAGTCCCAATCCCCGAGTCTCCCTTCTCTCAGAGCTTCATCTATTAAGTCAGAGTAGACTTAAAATGTTGAACTTGAGGCAAACAGATGCATCATGTGATTTTAGTTATCAAACTATAATGTTCTCTCAAATGTCTAAAATGACATTAGTTTAGCAATCCCAACTTGAGAATAATTATTTTAGGTTGTAAAATAAGGTGTTGGAGAAAGGGCCCCACTTAGTGCAGCACTGGTCAAGCAAGCTTTTTCGGCCATATGCTTAGAGCCACACCTCAAACCAGGCTTTTTCTAACTCTCCGGCTCAAGGCTCTCCTTTGCCTTCAGAGTCTAAAACTTAGAAGAGTGGGGAGAGAAAAGGAGGGCATGAGAGAGGGAGGGGAGGCGGGAGGAAAGAAAGGGAGCCGGGAGGAGTAACATGGAAGGGGAGGAGATGGCAGGGAAGGGGAGGGGAGAGAGAAAAAACAGTAAAGCCACTGGAAAGAAAGCAACTGACAAACCAGTTAATTCCAAAGACTCCAAATATGTGTGTGAAAATCAATAAAACATATTCAATAAAGACCAACAGAACCAATCAGTCACTTCTCACCCTTCACAGCCCGCTGTCTGTCCAGAGGCATCCTTCCGCGCTAACACCCTACTGCCTCTGAGCAGTACTTGAAATCGGGCACAGTTCAAATGTTTACAGCCTTCCTTTTTTTTTTTTTTTTTTTTTTTTTTTTTGGTAAGTGGGGAAATCCTTTTATCTGAAAGGGTACCTTGCAAATTATTTGCATTTCAGCATCTTCTTGCTGCCCTCTACTACAGGAAACCTCCGTAGTGAAGACGCCATGGTCTCCCACAATCTAGGCGGCTCCCAAGGGGGGAACTGTTCACCTTTGATCCGGCTGCAAAGGCCGGACAGCTGAGTCAGCGGAGTTCTGCGCCAATGAAGTGACTTCACCTGACTCAGGCCGCAGGAGTCAAAAGGCTTGACCTCTGCCCCTTCCACCAGTGTCTCCAGGCCTTGTGCTTGCTTTGCAGACTTGACCTTATAAGGAGGAGAGTGTGCAAAACTTGCTTGCCGCCCCTAGGCGATCCGGAATCATGTGCTAGGTAAGAAGTTCCGGAGCCAGGTAGGAGCTAACCTTGTGCTGTTTCAGGTCCCTAGAGGTCCTCCTGGGTGTGAAATGCGACTTCACAGCCTCTCCTAGGGCTGGCAACTGCTCGCTTAGGGATACTAGGGGAGGCCACTGCGTCTTCCTTTGTGAACCTCCAGCTCTGGCAAGGAAATGTGAGGGTCCCGGGAGCCAGAAAAACAAAACCAAATCTTCACTTTGGGTAAACTCTGATGTTGTTCCCAACCTCACAGTGTGCACAACGCTTTATCATGACTGGGCCGCAGTGGGAATCCCCACTGCTGCTGACCCTTGACCTGAGAAGCACCTCTAGAACGTCAGTCTAGTCAGGAGCAGGCTAAAAAATAGGATGTACGACAAAAAAAAAAAGAGGGATAACTTAGTTTGGGTTGGGTTTGGTTGTTGCAGCCTCCCCTTGAAGTGTCCATCATAACCATTGTTTTTCTTCCTCCCAAACAAAGGTTCTCTGTGTAGCCCAGACTGACCTGGAACTCGAGTCCTCCTAGGGCTGGGTTCCGAGCATGTGCCTGCAGCGTAAGACTACAGTAGAGAACCTAGAAAGGAGAGGGCGCCACGGGGCACACTCTCTGGTGTCAGAGACAGAGAGCGAGGACATGGTGACCGCCTAATTCTGCAAGCGACAATGGAGCTGTGTTCCGGTGTAGGCCTGGGGACTTTCTCCAGTTGACTCCCGGTTCCCGGAAAACTAGCCTGACTTTTTCCCTTTCCCTAAACTGGAAGCCCTGGGAGCTTCATCTCTAGTGAGAACAGGAGGATATTTCAGAATTCTCCACAAGGTGGCACCAGACACCCGTGCACGCAATGAAGGCGCTCCCTCCCGGTGGGCGGAGGAATTGGACAACCCGATCAAATCAGACCAGATTCAAAGGAAACAGATATGCAGAAAAGTCACACCGGCCCCAAAAGAAAACAGGCCCACGGAAAACAAGAAAGAAGCCTGTTTTAAAGAGATAGGGAGGCGTAGCACGGCGGCCAGATATCATCTGCAATTCCTCCGTAAAACGAAGGAGAGTTAAGTGGGAGGCAGGAGGTGGCAGCCAGAGAGGCTGTTTCGCCGCCTGCAGGTGGGCGCAGGTGGTGTCTGGAGCCAGGGACTGGTGGTGGAGAAACAAGCCTTCTGCCTAACATTTGCTGGTATTTTTCACTAATAAAAATGAGTGAGCCGATAAGCCCTCAAATGAGTACTGTGAGGACACAATAAACACGTCGAAAAGATTCTTCCCATGATTAGAGGAAGGTTTTTCGCTGCCAGTAAGAGAGAGAGAACAACCAAAGGTACCTGGAAGAGGCTAGATCAGAGGGAACAAGGGAAGACTAGACGTGGCCAGGGCTATCTATCTCTTGGGAGCTGAGAGAAGCAGGAAGATAGCATAGAGAATAACCAGAGTAGCAAAAAAAAAAAAAAAAGGGTAGTAGAGAACAGCACGTGCCGGGTGGGTGGGGACATTACAGAGAGAGCTAACCCATAAGGAGAAGGGAGGCCTGTGAACTGCAGCAGGCTGGGAGCTAGCACGGTAGAGACGGAGACAGAATGGCCTGCCAGGGTGGCCTGGGCCTTGAGATGTAGTAGGGGCTGAGGGAGCCTGGAGCTCAGCATTGGCTTTGACATATAACCACAAGTATGTATCAATGGGGAGCGCATGTCCCCTCTGCCAGGGGCAAGGGAAATGACTCCTGGCTGAGGGGAGCCCATTTCACAAGTTCCGGAGAAATACTGGCTTTTACCTAATCACCAGGAATCTTTCCAAAGTCCACCTTGAGCTTAGCCAAGACTGCCGTTTCTGGACGTGGGCACTTCCTGAAACATAACAAGTTCACTGTAGAATACACACTGTTGCTGCTTTTCAGTTTTTGTACTTCCTGTGTACGGGTGCAGAGTGTTTGTGTATCCCACTGGAGCTTGTCAGGGAACATCTCTGTGGTATCCATTCTGTCTTGTACCGGTCTGTGGTTCCCAGGGGTGGGTGAAACTCAGGTCTCCAGGTCTCCTCAGCCAGGGCCTTTCACTGGGCTCAATTCACCCTGAGAATTAGTTTGTCAGACTTCTTTTGGGGTGCCATTGTAGAATGATGATTTCAGATAGATTGTATCAATTGACACTATTGTATCTATTGGCCAGTACCAACTGACACCACCAGCCTTTTCTCGCTTGGGTGCTCAACACTGCCCCACCTTTGGTCAGTAGGGACTCTTGCGACTGCTTATGCTAAGTTTTGACTGATCCCATTGTCCAGAGCTTTGTTTTCTGACTGAACAAGGCATGGATGTTCTAAAACTACCACGTGCCCTTCAGTCCCAGGCCAGACATGGAATGAGCCACTGTGTTAACCCTGACTTTTGAAAGATAAACAGCATTAGGAACTGAAATGTGGACATCGGTGTGCATTGATGGGGTGTCAGTTCTACCCTGCCATTTCAGAGGGGAAAACTAAGTACTCTTTGTTTTTTTAACACCAAATTACCTGCCTACAAGTGCCAAATTCTGTGACTTTCCGTGTCAGGTGGTTCCAAATGTTTGTGCACTTTATACAACCATGTAGTCCCTTGTTTGGTTTTGTCTTGGTTAGGATTTCTATTACTGTTATAAAACATCATGATCCAAAGGAACTTGGGAAAGGTTTATTTTGCTTACACTTCCAGTCCATCACAGAGGGAAGTCAGGGCAGGAACCTAGACAGTTGCTGATACAGCAGCCACGGAGGCCAGGAGGCTTGCTCCTCACGGCTTGCTCAGCCGGCCTTTTTTATAGAAGCCAGGGTGACCAGCGCAGGGATGACACTGTCCATAGTGAGCTGGGCTTTTCTACATCAATCACGAGTTAATAAAATGTTCTGCAGCCTTCCTACAGCCCAGTCTTGTGAAGGCATTAACTCAGCTGAGGCTCTCTCCACTCAGATGTCCCTAGGTTGTGTGAAGTTGACATACTAGCCATCAACGCTTTGGTTATAACGACACACTGTTCTCATGCAATTTTAGAGGTCTACAATTAGCCCTCCAGTCCACGGATCCCAAAAGCCAGGCTCCTATCATAATAAACACTATTTGCTTGCTTTTTCTGATAGCTCAGGAAAATAACTTTTGAAGGAACTATCAATAGAGGCAGTACAAACACTGAAGACATCTGGTTGTAGACAGCCCACCCCGAAGAATTTGTTGCCAAGTTACCACGATCTCAAGTCTCACAATCTCTCACATCATGTGTGATGCAGAACACGTCAAATGGGGGAATGCGAGTCAAATAATCCCAAGCTAATGCCAAATAAAGTATGTTGAGGTTTTTCTTTATTAAAAGTGAACTCACTTATTACAACAAGGAAATAGGAATGGGGTCAACATCCGGGAGTGGCTCACAGGAAGAAGAGGCAGAGCAGGGTGGGACCGCAGCTTTCTGGTACCTCAAACTGGTCCAGCCTCTCAGAGGCCACTGGCTGGAGGGGGTTCGCCATCACCTCCCCCTTTTTTCTAAACAAAAGAGTTCCAAACCCAATACAAAACTATATACAATAAAAACAGATATCAAGTATAAAAATTAGAAGTACAACCAGTATAAACAATATTAAGGAAGGAACATATGCTAAATGATTCAATAATCATTCTATCCTAAGGAGTCTAAGTCTTGTATTAGCAATGGCTTGGCTAAATCAGAAGAGGCAAGCAGCTTCCAAAACGTGCAGTAGACGACAGAGACAACTGGCTACCTGGCAATCACCCAGTCTTATTTGCAATGTTGGAGCAACCAGACCCCGAAAAGATGCTCCGAGGACAGCGGGGCCACAGCGCAGGTGTCCACCTCTTCCTGTCTGCAGCTGATCAGCTTCTGAGACGAACTGGTGATTTTCTAAAAAGTCATTTTCACAAAAATCATTCATTAGTAATTGCAAAAAAAAAAAAAAAAGAATAGCACAGATATCCCAAGTATTTGTTTATTGTTTGTTTTTCAAGGCAGGTTTTGTCTGTGGAATCTTGGCTCTCCTGGAACTCGCTCTGTAAACCAGGCTGGCCTCGAACTCACAAAGATTTGCCTGCCTCTGTCTCCCAAGTGCTGGGATTAAAGATGTGCGCCACCACCCCTAACTGAAATCCCAACTATTGAAGTGTGTGTGTGTGTGTGTGTGTGTGTGTGTGTGTGTGTGTGCAGGCATGCATGTTCTCACATGTGTATGTGGGTACACGCACTCATATGTGCAGGCCCTAGGTTGGCACTGGGAGTTTTCCTTGATCCCTCACTGAGCATTTATATAGGTTCTGGGGATCTGAACTCTGATCCTCACACTGGGTGCCTACGTGGCAAGCACTTTTAACTGCTGAGCCATCTCCGCAATCCTAGTTAACTTTCAAGCCACAAAACCCTCCAGGACAATCCAAGCCCTAGGTCAGTGGCTCCCAGCACCTGCTGAGATCTCTCCTGGCCCTTGTCTAGCAATTTCCACATGACCCTGCTGGGTCAGTGCTTTTCTGTGAGAACCAATTCCACAAAAACTCAAATATAATTCAGGGGGATGGGGGAGGTGGTGTCCAACCTTCTACACCAGAGAGCTCTGAGAAGGACCCGCTTTGTGAGGCTTTAGGACGAGACCTAGCCCAGTGCCCAGTTCAGACAGGGGATCACAAGAGCAGGCTTGTTCTTGCTCCTGTATCACACGCTTCTAGCTCTTCCCAGAGCCCCCAGCGCATGATCATAGCTGATTTTAAACAGACAGAGAACAACTTTTCAGACAGTCCATTACTAAGTGGCCTGCTATGGCCTGAATCTGAAACATCTCCCATTGGCTCATGCACAAGGGTTTGGTACTGGAAGGCTTTGGGCAAGTGATTAGAGCAATGGAATAATCCCTTGATGTGGTCAAAATTTGACATAGTTGGAGGCCATAAAAAGAGGGAGGGCCTCTTTAGAAGAAGTAGGTTACTAAGAACCAAGGGTCCCTGGAAATATATATCTTGTTCCCTGCCCCCACCCCTTCTCTCTGTAGTGATTTGAATGAGAATGCCTCCCATAGACTTATATGTTTGAATGCTTGGTCCTGAATTGATGAACTCTCCAGGAAGGATCAGCAGGGTGGCTTTGTTGGAGAAAGAGTGTTGCTAGGAGTAACCTTTGAGGTTCCAAAAGCAGCCCAATCTCTCTGTCTCTCTATCTCTCTGTCTCTCTGTTTCTCTCTCCCTGCTGCCTGCAGATCAGGATGTAAAGCTCTCAGCTACTGCCCCAGCGCCATGCCTGTCTGTCTGCTTCCCACCATGATGGTCAGGGACTGGCCCTCTAAAACTGCAAGCAAGCCCCCAGTTAAATGCTTTCTTTTGTAAGAGTTGCCTATAACCCCGTTCCAGGGAATCTGATGCCCTCTCCTGGCCTTTGTAGACACTGCATGCACATGGTATGCTCACAGATATACAAACACTCATACTTTAAAAACTGTGACAGTCATGTATATGATAATTCCTGTAACAACGATGAATAAATCTATGTGAAGAATAACCAAAAGAGTAAATAAAAAAGAATTCTAAATGTATATACTTGGGGCTGAGTTGGTAAAGTGCTTGCCTAGAATGTACAGTGGCCCTGGGTTCAATCTTGAGTGCCACATAAAAGCACTCAGAGGCAGAGGCAGGTGGATCTCTGAGTTCGAGGCCATCCTAGTCTACAGAGTGAGTTTCAGACAGTCAGGGCCACACAGAGAAACACTATTTCAAAAGGAAGGAAGGAAGGAAGGAAGGAAGGAAGGAAGGAAGGGAGGGAGAAAGTATACCATATAAGCAATGAGAAAAAAAGAGCTAAATATTACCAGAGATAAAAATAAACACATAGTGATGCTAAAAGGCTTACTTAGGAAGACCCAGCTATCACAAATGTGTATGGCTGCCAGGCGGTGGTGGCACACACCTTTAATCCCAGTACTCGGGAGGCAGAGGCAGGTGGATCTCTGTGAGTTCTGGCCTGGTCTACAAGAGTTAGTTCCAGAACAGGCTCCAAAGCTACAAGAAACCCTGTCTCAAAAAACTAATAAACAAACAAACAAACAAATAAATAAATAATGTGTAAGGCCTTAAAGTAGTACTTCAGAGCTGGGCCGTAAGGGTGCATACCTTTAACCCCAGCACCAGAGAGAGAGAGGCAGAGGCAGGTGGAGCCTGGTCTGCAAAGCAAGTTCCAGGATAGCCATACACAAAGAAACCCTTTCTTGAAAAAAAAAAAAAAAAACCAAACTAAACGAAACAAAAAAACACAAACAAACAAACAAAAACAGTACTTCAAAATGCATGAAAAATTGCTGGATGTGGTGGTGTATACTTTTAATCCCAGCACTCAGGAGGCAGAAGCAGGTGCATCTCTGTGAGTTCAAGGCCAGCCTGGTCTACATTGTGAGTTTCAGGACAGCTATGGCTATACCGAGAAACCCTTTCTAAAAAGAAAAAAAAAAAAGCATGAAAAGTTGGTATAAAGGAAGAAACAGATGCAGCTACAGCCATGGTTAGGGTCTTTATACCCTTCTCTCAATCAGCTTGTAGAACTACTATACAGAAGTCAGAGCAACCCCAGTGAACTGAGTTCCCATAGCAGCGCCCTCACCACAGCCCAGGCACTGAGCTCTGTGCTAGGGTCGGCTAACACTGCTATGACCACATGGACGTATCAGAGACAGGAGAGCTGGCTTTAGGAGAGAAGGGTGGCAGGGCATCCTGAATACTAGGTTAAAGGGAGACTTCCTCCACTTGTACAGAGGCAAAAGCAAACCTCATAGATGTTATAGGAGTGGCTTCATTGTGATGGCCGACTGCTAAGGAATCCCGGCAGTGTGCTGACTATAGACAGATCTGGTTCTGATTGCTCTAGAGCAGCAGCCTGCTAACTCCCCACCAGAAGGGAACTGTGACAACCTTAGGGTGACAGGGGTGGAGGAGGGGTGCTCTGAAGAGCCACAGGTGAGGCATGTGTGAGCTGCTGAGGCCTGCCTTTGCTCGTCCCCCTCCAGGGCACAGACACACAGGGCCTACACCCACAGAGAGGTTCCGAGCCCTGGTCCATTGTTTTCAGGAGTAAGATAAGCATCCTGGGCTTGGGGGACACCAGAAGAACAGGTCCTTGAGCAGTCTCTATGAAGGTCCTCACCGTTGCCCTTGCCTATTCCACGCCCACCCAAGGCAAAGCACCTTCCATGCCGCATGGTCTTAAACCTGAGAGGCATGAGACTCTTGGCATACAGACTGTGTTGAGTCAGAACCTGCTACTGGCTGTAGCTGCTGTTACAATTGGGGAACCTGAGAGAGCTCAGAAGGCACTGGGGAAGACAAGACCGCATAGCTTATCACTAAGCACCCCAGGCTGAGTAACACAGCCACCCTCTTGGTAATGTCAGGTCCTGTGGGAAAGCAGAATGGCCTGCCAGAGCCTGGAAAAGGGAGGACTCACCCAGACCTTCTGATCAGGGGTTTCTGTGACCTGAGTGTATCCCCCAAACCACATGTTGGGTCAGAAACTGCGGGACATGATGAGGCTGGAAAGGCCTCAGCTCCATGAACGTGGGCTATAATAAGGCCTGAAGGCCGCATGTTTGATAACTTGTTCTATCCCTTAGGTGACACCTTTAGCCATGTTGTAAGAGCAAGAAGACCTTCACCCATAAGGCCCTTCAACCTCACTCCACCAACACCAACCCCATTCTCCGGAAGCCAGTGAACCCTATTCTCTAGAACTTACCCAGTCTGTGGTGTTCTGTGACAGCAGCAGAGACTAAGATACATAAAGCCCCATTAGTACTTTCTCCTCTCTCTGTCTGTCTTCATAGACCACAGAAAAATGTGTCCAAGCCCAACTAAAGCCCACGAGGCGCCTGGTCAACGTCACACTGAAGCGTAAGATGATGCTCTTACCAGGGTGTCGGGGAGGACTACGGACGGGCAGCAAGAGTAGCGGAGCAGCCGGCCCATCTTCCAGATGGAGAACAGTACAACCATTAGAACCAGCATGAAGCCAACAAATGCGACCAGCGCCAGGGCCAGCGGGAGGGACTCTCCTGGGTACAAAGCAAAGGAGAAGACTTAGGAGCCGCCGGGAAGGGAAAAACCACCAGGCCCACACCTCTGAGGGCTTCTCAGAGCAGCACTCAGGTCAAGACAGGGGGTGCCCGCACCCTGAGACTTGGTGTGTCCTCCAAAGGGCTGCAGTTACCACCATTCTCCTGGACTCACAATAAATATGGTTTTTAGAAAGCTGTGGGGAAGATTTCCATCTCGATCTTGGGAAGGGGAGGGAGGAACCTAAGGCATTGCCCATGATAGCATGTCCCTGGCACTACTGCCAGAGGAAGGCAGGCTGCCAGGCCCCAGACAGGATGAGGGGGAGGTGTTGGAGCAGAACAGCACAGAACAGGGCTGGGCGGAAACCAAAAACAAAGTGTTTCACAATTTGCTCTTGGCATAGACTCCTATGGTGGAGGAAAATACTAAGTCCCCAAACAGTCCCATTAAACTCACAGATGGAGCCCCTGTTACATGCGCTAGGTTCACTTCCGGCTCCCAGCCTGTTGCTAAGGTCTGGGCCCCTGCTCCTCACAGTGAGCATCTTTGTCATTGAAGAGGATATTATTTATGCTCAAGATGGGTTAATGGCCAACCCCAGGACAAATAGGTAGGGATAGCTCCAAAGCCCATGTTGAGTTTGCTAACAAATACAGCAAGAAGCCCCAGGTCTGAGCATCTGGAGATGCAGAGGATGGGACGAGCTAGTTTCCCACCTCTCTGTTCCATCTAACCGCTTGCAAACATTTATCACTTCCTGCCTGGACCGTTTGCTCGCAATGTTAGCAGTGACTTGGCCCACGTGGCTGTGGCCTGCGGGGTGGGGCATGTCTACTGTTTCACTTTGGGAAAATATTTTGGCAGTAGCCATCAAGAGATGAACAATGCCAATAACCTTCTGGTCCACTCCTGTGGTGTCCGGTCCAGAAAATCACTCCAAGGAAGGAAATAAGTGTGTGCATCCGTCAGTTCTCAGGAATATCCAGACAAGAGTCACAGGCTGTCACCAGCCATCCGCCCACTGGTCTCCTACCACTCGAGCCGTGACTCTCCGCACAGCAAACCCACACACACACACTGGAAAGCACCTCGTGAGCTCATCAGATTGCTGTTTGTCTCCACAGCTGGACGGCAGGGACTCCCTTCTCTGCCCCAGTGGACAGGCCAGGACTTGGCATGTAGTCAGCGCTCTGCAAATACTTATTTAATAGAAGAACGGCATCTGCGAGAGCAAATAGCAGTGCTTTAAATGCCAAATGAAAGGGACCGATCTAAGATACTATGGAACATTGGCATGGTAGGTTAGCAATTCAGCTGTTAGGAGAATAGACAGACATATTGCAGCTTGACTAATCATGGAACAAGTTTGGGAAGTCCATAGTATTGCCATCAATAAGGATATGCTGCTGGCTTAAGTTGTGTCTTTAAAAACTAAGACAAGCTGAGCATAGTGGCACATGCCTTTAATCTCAGTACTTGGGGTGCAGAAGTAGGTGGATCTCTGAGTTCAAGGCCAGCCTGGTCTACAGAGGGAGTTTCAGGACAGCCAGAACTACATAGTAAGACCCTGTCTCGAAGCGGGGAGAAAAAGGAAGGCAGACCCACACCCACACTGGGAGCTGGCTGCAACATTCCACACAGTGCATCTGAGCCAGGTAAAGAGCGTGGGAACACCCGGGTCCCCGAGCGGAGGAAGCATCGGAAGCTACAGACAATGTGGGAGAATAAATGAAGGGTTTGCCGGCAGAAGCATGTCTGTGACTCAAACACCTGACGAGAAGCAACCAGAAGAAACGCTTATTTTCACTCCTGCTCGAGGTTGCCTTCCGTCCCGGCAGAGGAGCTGTGGTTGTGGGGACAGGAAGTGGCATGTTTATATCCCCATGGCTCAGGAAACAGGACAGGAAGTGGGGTTGGGATTTAAACCTCGAGGTCCACCTCCCTGAGACTCACTTTCTCCAGCTTGACCCCAGCTCCCACAGGCTCTCCATCCTCCTCCCAAATAGTGCCACCAGCTAGGGACCAGCTGTGCAAACACATGAGCCTTGGGGGACATTCTACATCCAAACTAACAGCAGCTCTCTTGAGCAGCATGGGGAAGGATAAGATATTTAACTCCTACTTTTTATAGTTCTGAACTATTATATGGATTTTCCTAAGCTTGACACGTAATTTTTTTTAAGTGCCAAGAAATGTTTCTCAGAAAGTGTGCATGGAAAATGTTATGAAAAAAAAAAACAACCAACCAGGTATATGTATATCATGGAGGGCTAGTGCAGGTCTTCACCTAGATGCCAACTGAAGGGTTGCGGATCTTTGGAGGACAATTTTACAGCAGGGTCAGAGTTAAGTGTGTGTCTTTTGACCACGGTACTTTACTTCCAGGAGTTTATCATTCAAACATATATATCATTCAAATGTATATATGTGTGTATACACATATATGTGTGTATATATATATATATATATATGTTTGCTGGTATATCAGCAAAAGTGATCTACGCACAAGAAAATGAATGCATTGATTGCAACAGCAAAGTATTTGGGTGTGGGGAGGATCTAACTTCTATTAATCATAAATCAGTTGAATTAGCCAACACACACACACTCACAATGGAATAGGATTTTGTAATGAAGAAGTGATGATGGAATTTCTTTTTCATTTGGAAACATCTACACGATACATAGAAATGAGATTCAGAACAGTGCATATGATATCACTTTTGCTTAAAAGATGATATATATGTACATACTTATATATATGTGTCCTCATTTCCATGTATATGAGTTTTAAAAGCCTCCAGAAGAATATATAGGAAACTCATATGAAGGGAAAATGGAGAAGAGACATAGGGAAGATAATTACATGTATATTATGCTTTCTGGACCATATGAATGGACTAATATATTCAAAATAATATTTTTTTAAATCTAAGAAGTTATGCTGAAAAGTGTAACTAGTGGTTTTTGCATAGTGGGGTCATAGGATATAAAGGTTGTGCTTCTTTTCAAAGAATTTTTCATTACTGTAGACCAATAAAAAATAAATAAATAAATAAGGTCTAGGGAGCTGTCCCGGTCAGTAAATCGCCTGGTATACAAGCATGAGGACCTGAGTTTGGGTTCATGGCACCCACGTAAAAGCCAGGGGTGATTGTGGAGACCCAAACCCTGGTGCTTGGGAGTCACTGGGGCTCGCTGGCCAGCAGTCTAGCCAATCAGCAAACTCTGGGTTCGATTAGAGAGGCTGTCTCACAAAATAACAGAAATAGAGGAAGATGCTTAATATCAGTCTTTGTCCTTGACACCACATGTGCATATGTGTGCACATGTACCCCTACACACATGCACACAGGCAACACACACATTTTTAACTGCTTTAATTCAGATGAAGTTTTTTTTGTTTGTTTGTTTGTTTTTTTTTTGTTTTGTTTTTTCGAGACAGGGTTTCTCTGTGGCTTTGGAGCCTGTCCTGGAACTAGCTCTGTAGACCAGGCTGGTCTCGAACTCACAGAGATCCGCCTGCCTCTGCCTCCCGAGTGCTGGGATTAAAGGCGTGCGCCACCATCGCCCGGCCAGATGAAAAATTTTAGTCAAAGAAGATTCTATAGACTGTAAGATCCCTTCCAGACAAAGGAAGCTGTGGTATTGCTCTACAGTGTGGTACCTCCTTCCAAGGTCTAACTCTCCCACAGCCAACTCTGCCAACGGCTAAGCTAGTCCAGTAAGGTGCTGGGAGGAGGAGGCTTTGGGAGAACGTGCTGTGGGCAGCTGCTCAAGAAATCCCACCCAGCCCCCAGGGTAGGCCCCTACCCCTGGGGAGAACTAGAGTTTACCTCAGAACCCACCAACCCTGGAAGCAAATATGTAAATCCAGGGAAAACCTGGAACCATTGGTAGGGCTGCCAAGTGCAGAGACCCAGGGACAGGCAAGTTACCCTTACCTTGCATCTTCACACACTGAGTCTGGCTGAAGGCGCTGTGCCTCCCAATGGCATTCACCCACGCCTGCGCCTTCACACAGTACGTGGCCCCTGGTTCCATGGTTCCTAGGTGCAGTGGACTGTCCCCACTCTTCACCACCTTAAAATGCTCCTTTAAGAAAATCAAATCAAAACACAGTCACTGCTTAAGGGCAGCAGAGCTAAATATGCAGGGAGAGCTGGGTGGGGAAAACGTGCAGACAGCCCTTTTCCAGACCACAGAGAACATTCCCTCATTCATCCACTCATTCATATGTATTAAGCCTGTATGTACTACTGACATAGGCACACAGCATGGGAGCTTGCGCGCAGGAGAGAAATACCACACACACACATTCCATGTAATGATTGGGGCTATGAAGAGGAAGCAGGGCAAGGCACGGAGAGTGGTGGAGGCACAAGGGTAAACAGGTGTTCAGAAACAGCCTCTCCAGCCGAATAGCATTTGAGCAGAGCCCATCCACCTGTCTGTCCACCCTTCAATTCCCACTCTAAGCCCCAGGCCTGCAGAGGAGCCTGTAGAAGCTTGTAGGACCCAGCCCAGATGACTCAGGGTACTCACTCAGCAATGAGCCTCCCAGATACGAGGGTGGGGAATAGGCTCCGCTCCCCCCCCAAGACTATGAAGTTGATGCCTGCTTCCTCCTGCCCAGCCCCAGCCTTTCTCCCACCCTGTTCCATCTGCCTGGCTGGCAATGTGGTGTCCTACCAGTATACCCTGACCCAGCAGGGCAAACTGGCCCACATCCTGGCCCACCTGCCCACACCATGTTCCAAGAATAGCTGTCCCACTCAGCGGAGGGTACACGGGAGCATGTACACGGCCCCTAAACTATGTGACACTGGGCACCCCAGCCTGAGAAGGGTACCCACAGAGCTCAGCCGGCTGCCTGCCTGAAACCCACACAGCTCAGACTGATGAGCACAAGCAATGAGATTCACCACTGGAGGATTTGGTCTTGGGAAACAGTACCTCAAGCTGGATAGGAGGACAAAGGGAGAAGACTGGGTGAGGGGGGATCAGTCTGAGGTGCCTGGAGGGCTCAGGGGACACAGTCATAGCTGTGTCTAGGACCTGGAAGTGAAGGGGAGAAGCTACACTAAAACCTTCAATGAGAGACCAGCAAGGCTTCCATAGGTCAGGGTCCCTGAGTAGTTAAGATTATACTTCTGCTTTGCTCAGAGATTTGGTGAGAGTCTCTGTTGCCCATACTGATCCTCCTGAGAAAGCCAGCTTTTCCTGGGTCCACTGGAGTGGGTAGCCAGACCTTGTCATTACATCATCTTCAACAGGGCTACACGGGGAATGGTGTCCACAGTGTCTGCTGGAGCTCCACCTTGCTGCTGCTGCTGCTGCTGCTGCTGCTGTTTATTTGACAGTCCTTCTATGAGGGCCAGCCTCCCACTCACCCCAGACCACAGCAACCTTCCCATGGGGAAGGGCAGCTCCCTTCCAGGCTTTCTGCACGACCCGCCCGATCATAATTAGATAGGCTTATTCGTAAGCCAGCTCCTGGCCCACAGCCCTCCTTCTGCACTCTGCCAAGACACACACCCTCGAGAGGTTTTGTGCCCACCTTCTGTGCTTTTGAAATCATCCTGAACACCCTGAGCTAGAACATCCTGGCCTGCTGCCCCTGAGTGTCTGAGAATAGCTGAGGAAGGAGAAAAAACTAAGGCATCGAAAAGGCATTAGGGAGTCCAATGAGGTGGGGCCTTAGGGAAAGGAGAGTCGTCCTCCAGACTTCAGTGGACCTGGCCTGAAGAGGGCCCCGGTGTCCTGGCCAAGGTGGAGGATGAGCAAAGGTTACATCTTTGAGGAAGGGGTCGACGGATAGTTCTCTCATCCCTTCCTTCTCCCACCACTTAGCTCACACGCACTACAAAACTGGGCTTGACTCCCTCAGCCCCAGAAAGCTCTGCTCCTATGAGGCCTGGCTCAAAGGCCAAGGTCAGTGGGAAGCCTCACCGTGGCATCAGGCTCCTTCCTCCAGTAGAACACAAGGAACTCAAACAGGGGCCCCAGGTCTTCCAGCTTAATAACCAGATGCAAGCCGTATTCAGTGACCACCATACTGGGTGGGGTGAGGACCGCTGTTAACGAGAGAAAGAATCAAAGCCAGCTTCGGACTGAACTGATTTTCTTGGGGTAAAATGACCAAGTCATCAGAGGAAATACAGCAGCCCTACGGCCAACGGAGAGAGAGGACTTGCTAAAGGGTTCTAGGGTGTGGAGTCATGCCCATAAGGGGTTTCCTGCACTCTATGGGTGATCATAAAATCTTCTTAAATTCTATTTTTATTAAAATATGTTTTCAAAGATTGTGTGCATGTGCACACGCACACATGCATGCACTTGCCTATAAAGCATAGAGGCCGTTTCTCTTCTTCTACCAGGTAGGTCCTGGGAATCAAACTCAAGTCATCCTGCTTGGCAGGAAGTGCCTTTGCTTGCTGAGCCATCTTGGTGGCCCTCATAAAAATGCTTTTTGAATAATGATTGAGTGGAAAGTAAACCTAAAGACTTACTACAATTCATGCTTTATTCCAAAGAAATCTATCCCTTCTCCAGGAGCACAGGCTCAAGAGAAGGGATGAAGGACTCAAGAAAACATCGCTGTCCCTTTGAAGGTGCATGCTCTGTCTGCTCTCCCCATCGCCCTATTTTGCTGTTCTTCACCTCAGTTCATACTGTGATCAGATGCTGGTCCTTAACGCTTGCTGAACACCTGCCTGACTCTAAACTCTGCTGGGCACAGCTGGCTTGGTCTCTCCTCCTTGGGAATGGACATACCTGAGAGGGCCAACCCTAGCATCCCTGTTGTTACACAGAGCACCGGCACACACTGGTATCTGGTGCCTTGCAGACATCAGCAAATTAGCAACTTGCGGGGCTTGGCCCTTCTATTCTTGACCCCAGGATTCTTCATCTCACATGGAAACTATCAGCAAGTCAGAAGACAATCCGTTCTAGAAATTACAAGCACTATCTTCACTGTGCAGGTTCCCAGAGAGGCCAGCAGCTCCTGGGGACACTTTTCCACCAAGCCAAGAACAGAAGGGTCCACACAGGCTGCCTCCCTCAATATCAGTATAGAAACTCAAGGACCGGAAGGGCCAGTGTGATGGTTGGTATCGGCTTGGGAAGTAGAAAGGGATGTGGAGAAGAAAGAAAGTTCTTAGAGGGAGCATTCAGAGGGCAAAGTATTTTTCCATTGCCATCCTCACTGGAGAAAATATCCCTGGGTTTGGTGAGCTGCCCCTCGAAGGGACTAAAGGATTTGGTAGTCAGGCCACCTGTGCAAACAGAGCCAGCCCAGACACAACATCACTGCCTCTCGAAGACACACAGAGAAGGCCCGCCTCCTCCAATCTTAGGTCACATGTGATTGGAATCTGGGCCTCTGAATGCCCAGTCTTTTTGATAGACAAAATATCCTCAATTTCAGTTTATTTTATTTTTCTATTTCTTTTCTTCCCCAGCACTGGGGCAGAAGCCTCTGCCCTACACACTCTATACTTCTCTCACCTGACCCACCAAGAAACTTCAGAAAGTAAATCTTAGCCCCGTGGAACAGAGATGTTAAGGAAGTCACCTGGAGTCACATAGCTAACAGCCAGAATTAAAGCCCACGTCAGTCTCCATTTCCAGCCTGTGCTGTGTGAGGTGTCTGTCCGCTGCAGTAGAGAGTCACAGCTCTAGCTGCACGTGACAATAACCTGGGTAGAATCTGAATTTCCAAACAGATGGGCGCTCACACATCATTCAAATCAGACACCCCTAGAGTGGCCCCAGACGGGTGGCCTTTAAGCTCCATGTGATTATAACATGAAATTGAGGTTAAGAATATCTGCCTTCACTAAGTTTAAGAATAAGAGAGCTCGGTGGGAGAACACTAAGGCACAATTTTTTCAAGTGTCAGAGAAATCAGAGTCACACACACACACACACACACACACACACACTATGGAAAAGGAGGTGGGGTGGCAGTGCCAACCAGGTGGTGGTGGCACACGCCTTTAATCCCAGCACTCGGAAGGCAGAGGCTGGTGGATCTTTGTGAGTTCAAGTCCAGTCTGGTCTACAGAGTGAGTTCCAGGACAGCCAGAGCTTCACAGAGAAACCCTGTCTTGAAAAACCAAGAGGAGGGGGGGTCTAGAGCTACCGCAGCTAGATCACTAACTCCACCACACGTGAAGACCACAGGATTCTTGAGAGAGACCCTACCCTCTTCAGCACCTGAAACTCCCCTCTCAGCTTCCCCTACAGCAAGGCCTTTTCCTGTTTATGCTGGCCTCTTAAGCTCAAGTTTCACTGTCCGGCCCCTCCCAAATAACTGTTGGTGTTCCCTGATCTCTATCTGACCTGACCTTCCTTCCAGTGAGAGCTGCCAGACCCCAGTGGAGTTCTTGGCCGGATCCCTAGGCTCCCAGGTGCCAGAGGAAGTAGTGCTGGGTGCTACCTGAACTCTGTGGGCAGGGGAAAAGCTGCGGGGTCCTCCAGTGCTCGTAAACCCCCAGGTGCCTGCACTGAGGTCCTGCCGCTTCAGCCACGACTCCCCACGTCTTGCTGGTGCCTGGGAAAGATGCCCAGCAGAGAGGGCAACAAACGCCTCCCCGGTATCCCATTCCAACAGTCCCGGTCTCCTCCTCCTCAGCTCCAGCATCCCCAGGGCAACACTGCTAATCCTAACAAAAGTTGAGAGCTGTGATGAGACGGACTGTGTTGAGCATAGACGTGTTTCATTTCACATGATCCCCTCAACTATCAATAAGGCAAAATGTTGCGTGCATACAGCTCTCAAGCTCCAAGTTGGATTTAAACTAACCTTCATAATTCCTCAGGGCCAGTTTGGGATCCCTTGCCATCTAAACCCTCCTGACTTTCTCTCAGCATCCTCTGTCCTCAATAACTTGACTATTACTGGATACTGACCTAATGTTCCTGAACCCGCACTTCAAGCGGATCTTCCGTCACGTGAAGAAAATGGGCCACTGAGGGTCCTGCCCTTCCCCAGCACCAAACTCTGAGCATCCCCTCCCCCGATTCCCACCTTAGACAAGGTGCTGTCCCTTTTCACCACCACCAGGTCCTCTATGTGTGGCAGCTGCAACCACAGTCACTTTCTCAAACACCACCCAGGGACCTCCTTAAGCCTATCAGGGGTTTTCTGCTCCTTCTGCCTACCCAGCCACTTCCTCGTAGCCTTCTGCCTACATCTGAAACCTTGAGCTGTCTGGGACCCTGTTCTGGATTCTCTTTATCCTACCTACCTTGCCCTAGACATTCGCATCTATTTCCAGGCCTTTGTTGCGTGTTTGGCTTTCACCTCCAAGAGTCCAAGGCCTGATTTCCAATTGCTATGCATTCATAGCATGCCATGTTGCAGGAACCTGAGCTCCAAAACCACATAGATAGAGTGTCTCCTATTCTCAAGAACTGTTTCTCCTGTTAGGTTCTCACCAACCCAGGTAAGAAACTAGATTCTGTCTTCCCACTCCATCCCCAGTAACTGGACCCCAAGCTCAGTCCATTTTAAATGCAGCCATATCTCCTGAATTCATCCACTTCCCTGTCTTACTGAGGGTTTCTGTTGCTGCAGTGAAGCACCATAACCAAGAAGCAAGTTGGGGAGGAAAGGGTTTATTCAGCTTATACTTTCACATTGTCATTCATCACCAAAGGAAGTCAGGACAGGAACTCCAGCAGGCCTGGAACCTGGAGGCGAGAGCTGATGCTAAGGTCCTGAAGGGGTGCTACTTCCTGGCTTGCTTCCTAAGGCTTGCTCAGCCTGCTTTCTTACAGAACCCAGGACCAACAGTGCAGGGGTAGCCCCACCCACAGTGGGCCGGGCCCTTCCCCATCAATCACCAATTAAGAAAATACCTTACAGCTGAACCTTACATTTTTCTCAACTGAGGTTTCCCTTCCTTCCACATAACTTTAGCTTGTGTCAAACTGATATAAGCCTAGACAATACACACACACACACACACACACACACACACACCATCTCCTCTGCTACTCTACAAACCAGAATCCATCCTGGCTTAGCTGAAGATAACAATTCCCCTCTCGTTCTTCCTCTGCCCTGCATGCTTACCTACTCCAGGTCACTTTCCTCGCAGGGGCCACAGTGTTTGTTCTGTAAGAAAGACGCAGTCCAGACCCCATCTTCTTCCTCTGCTCCCATCCACTGACTTGGTCGAGCTTTCACTATAGGGCCAGCCGCCTCTCTACTCCACGGCCCATGCATCCCCCACCTCATCCCAAAGGCACACATTCCTTTCCACTCTAGCCATGGCTTGCACTCAGCTGCAGTTATCCACTTGCCTGGAGTCTTCTCTTCCCTTCCAATCGTTTTCCAGTTATAATTGCAATAGCAAAGGTGTTTGTCAGCAACCACAGAGAGGAATGTTTCTAGTAGCTGTTAAGTATGCAGATGTTTTTAAACAACCAAACTTCTCTCAGCAGTGTGGGGTTAATAGGCTCCAGATGGGAGATTTACGGAGGCACCATCAGAGTAAGAATCCTAGTGCCAAGGCTAGAGCTCCATACCTGTCGAGCCTAACAAGGACAGCCAGGACTGCCTTCCAGAGTGGGGAAGGAGAAAGGCAGCATGTGAGACAGTCCGCAGTTTACAAACATGTCAGAAAGGGTGTTTGTGTTTATCAGTACCCCAGTTGATTTGATACTGAACATCTAAGTAAAGGTAGTTCCTGCGGGGTGGGAGGAGGTGTGCCTTACTTGAGTTTCGATTGAAGGGGGGCTCCAGAGTGCTCCAGGCTGAAGTCTGTGAGCCCAGCATGGCCCTGACCCGGAAGTTATATGGTACTGTGGCAGCAATGTCATCAGTGACGTCACACTCCAGACTGTCGGTCGGTGAACACCGGCTGCTGGGGATCCAGACGTGGCTCGTGTGCAGGCTCTCATACGCCCTGGCCAAGGAGAAGAAGGCACAGAATCACACACACCCATTGAGATGAAATCAGAGATGGCTGTCACTGCCTCCGTTCTGCTTTTGGGGGTCAGTAGGATAAGCATCCTCTCCCCAACTCCAGATCCTCTACTTGCTTCCCAACCACCACTCTTGTTTATTTCTCGGGAACCTTCGCATGAGCCTGAATCTGTCCGTGGTCACCACCCTCCTCTCAGGCACCATCATGCCTTGCTTGCTGTGACTTCCCATTCTCCACACTCTACTGTAGCGATCCCTTTCTTCAAACACCCCACACAGCAGACCGTGATGCTTCTGTACCTAATGGCTTCTTGCGAGGCTCTAGCCTTCTTCAATCCTACCCCCTAAGGATGTTACTTCTTCCCAGTGACCTGTGGCTCTCCCCTTCGAAATGCTGATCTCTTTTTGCCTTGGATCTCTGACTAGATCATCACTGTCTCAAATGTTCTGCCTCTGCTATCCCACAGGTAGGGTACAAATATCACCTCCTCCAGAGGCCACCACCTAAGACAAAGGAGCTGCAAACTCAACTCCATTGCCTCAGCCTTCACAGCTTCCTACTGGGACTCAAAAGTCTAGGTTTGGCTCAGAGCTCTATGCTGATGGAAAGGTTTTGCGTCCCGTCGTTGTTCGGTGGGGGTAGTCACTGGCCACTTGTGGCTTTAGAGTATGTAAACAAGGAAGAATGGAACTCAAAGCATGTTTCAATTTAATTTAGACTTAAACAGCTACTAGTAGCTAGTGGCTGTAAAACTAAGGAGCACAGAGCCCGTGTTCTTAGCATCTTCCTCTAGAGCAGTGGTCCTCAACCTTTCTGATGCTGCGACCCTTTAATACAGTTCCTTGTGGTGGTGTGGGGACCCCAACCAGAAACTTTTTGTTGCTACTTCATAATCATAATTTTGTTACTGTTCTGAATCTTACCGTAAATACCTGATATGCGAACCAAGGGGTCACAACCCACAGATCGAGAGATGCTGCTCTGGAAGCTAATTTCCCCGCATCTAGAAGTGTGCACCTCTGTGTCCCCCCCGGGGCCTAGAAGAATGACTACACATGCAGGACTCGGTTTGTGCTTATTGCTAAAGAAATGTGCTGAGCACCAACTCTGCCAGTCACTTCTCAGAGACTGCTAGAGCCAGGACAGCTGGGGAAAACTAATCAGGTTCACCTCTGGGCCAGCTGAACTTTAGGGTCAAGACTTACTTGGGCTTCTAGATATACATGCAGAGTCAAGAAAACTGTGACCTCCTATACCCCAAAGGGAGTGGTTCTCCAGGTTGCAGGTCAGGCCCAAACTCACCAGACAGTTGGCTTGCTGTTGAAAACAGGCACAACAAAATGTCCCTCCACACCCATTCACACCAAGGGGTGGACCAGGAAGAGCATCTATTCTCGGGCCTCAAAGCCTCCTGGAGCAGAGAAGGAAGGGCTATCTATCCCTCTCGGACATGTTGTCTAAGGAAGACAAATTACTAAGCAAGGCAAACTCACCCTTGGTACTCCACAGAATAGGACACTGTCTCCCTGGGCTGGGCCACTGGACTCCACATCAGGAGATGCTTCATGTTGGTTGACAGTACAGTTAAGTTCTGTGGGGCAGGCAGCAGGGCCACTCTGCCTGGGATGAAATTAAGAGGGACAGTGAGAGCTGGCGTAGCTTCAGATTCTGCACTTGTCCAAGTGCTAGGTCTTACCCTCCCTGGTTTAGCTCTGCCTCTGTGGCAGCACGGCATATCTGTAGTGATTACAGCCCCGCTTTAGTGAATAGTGTTCATATTCTGTATAGGTCATTGCTAGATTGCCACAGAACTATCCTATGTAACTTTCTTTTCTTTCTTTTTTTCCTTTTTTTCCTTTTTTTTCTTTTTTGTATTTTTGAGGCAGGGTTTCTCTGTGAAGCCCTGGCTGTCCCGAAATTCCCTCTGTAGACTGAGCTGGCCTCAGAGATCCACCTGCCTCTGCCTCCCAAGTGCTGGGATTAAAGGTGTTCACCTCTATGCCTGGCTTTTCATGACCCTACTGAGTTTAAGAACCATTATTTCCCCACTATATAAACAAACAAGCAGAGGCATGTTATTTGTTCATGGATATGTTTTTTATAACTTTACTTTAGTGTGTATGTATGATAAGAATGTGTACGAGTGAGGGTGTACATATGCCATGGTGTATATGTGGGTGCCTTTAGTGAGGATGTACATATGCCATGGTGTATATGTGGGTGCCTTTAGTGAGGATGTACATATGCCATGGTGTATATGTGGGTGCCTTTAGTGAGGATGTACATACGCCATGGTGTATATGTGGGTGCCTTTAGTGAGGATGTACATACGCCATGGTGTATATGTGGGTGCCTTTAGTGAGGATGTACATATGCCATGGTGTATATGTGGGTGCCTTTAGTGAGGATGTACATACGCCATGGTGTATATGTGGGTGCCTTTAGGATCCTCTCCTTTCACCTATGGGAACCAGGTTCGCACTTGGGCCATCAGGTTTCATGAAAACATCTTTATTGGGTGAGCCATCTCACTGGTCCTATTTATTTTAATGAACATATAAAATATGTACCCATTACATTTATGGATAGCTATGTGGTATTTTAGCACATATATGTAATGTGTTATTTCAAATGAAAGCAAGCCTATGTTTCTCAAACATTTATCATTTCTTTTTAATTCAAAGCCTTCACATATCCTGTGTTCTGGGCCTTTTGAAATATAATTTTTTTCCTCTATAGGTAGTCTTCTATGCAATAGCACACCAGAATAAGCTCTAACCGGAACTCAGTAGTTGTTAACCAGTCTCAGCCCTGTCCTCTCTCTGGATCCACGCTCCTCTCCAGCCTCCGGTCACCACCGTCATTCCATTCTAAACACACGAGGTCGACTCTCTGACATTCCGCCTAGGAGCGAGACTTGCAATATTTATCTGTCTGTGCCTTGTTTATTTCATTTAACATAATATCTTCCAGACCGCCCACGTCTGCCTCTTATGGCTGAACAATATCCCATTGTATGTAGGTACTTTTATCTATTTATCGGCTGATGGGTATTTAGGTTATTTCCACGTCTTGGCTTCTGTAAACAGTGCAGCAGATGTCTCAACACAGCTATTTAATTTTCCCTTGGATGTGTTGTATAACCAGCGGTGGGGTAGACAAATCAGAGGGTGGTTGCACTTGGACTTTTTGAGGAAGCTCCACGCTGTTTTCCATAAGGATTATAATAGCTTACATTCTTGGTAATAGTATGTACCAGCATTTGGCTTGCTATTTTTAACTTTTTAATGAAAATCACTTTTACTGTGGTTCTGGGGAATTTACTCCCAGGGGTTTATACATCTTAGGCAAGTGTTCTTCTTTTGAGCTACATTCCCAGTCTGGGGGTGAGGTGATAATCTTATTTTGGTTTTATTTTGCTGGGATGATTAACAACGCTGACCATATCTGCTGGTCATTGGTATCATGTACTTTAGAAATGTCCACTTAATTATACTGTCCATTTTCAATCAGTTTATTTATTGACTTACTATTGAGCTCCTTATAGAGTCTATGTGATAGCCTTGGTGCCGGCTGACCTGGATCCAGGCCTTGACTCAACCCTGGACTATGTTATCTTATGCAACCAGAATAACCTGAGCCTCCTTCATGGCAAATCCATGGCTCTTGCCAGTTTCTCAACATGCCCATCTCCAGCGTCTTCATCCCTGGGCACCAGAACACATTAGCTCGTGACCAGCAAGGCCAAATGGGGCATCAGTGGCCAGGTGGAAAGCTCTGACTCAGGGCTACTGTGGGCAAAGTCCAGCAAAGAGGGGTACCAAAACTGCTCAGAGACTCCACCCGGGGCAGACTGCGAGCACGAGAACCCACGTGCGGCACAGGAGACTACGGATAAAGGAAGTGTCCGGGACACACCCACAGTGGCACTACAGTTTGCACCTGTACTCGTAAGAACTTGAGGCAGCTCAGCTTTGCCTGGAGCCCTGGGGCGCCGTCTGGACCTCTGCAGCTCTTCTTCCCCCTTTCACACGCTCTCTTCTAGTGCCAAACACCTGCTCCTCTGCCGTTATTTGTCACAGTGATGGTACCTAGCAGTGTCATGGCAGACAGAGTGACAGCTGGGCCCTTTATCTTGGATCTTTCGGTTTCTGCCTCTAGATGGGCACCTGCTGTTTGTGATCAGGCATCAAGCCTCATGACCACGAGGAGAAGGGGGCTCCTGAAACATCCTGTCTACTGGCACTTTGCCTCTCTTCTAGCATAGGACCCTGGTGATGAGCCTTCGTCTCTTCCTTAACGTACTCACTCTATCTGGGAAGAAAGACCTGGGGCAGCCGCAAGGGGGCTTCTCGGCTTTCCAGCCAGAGCGTCCTTATTTTTGTTTTTGTTTTTTTCCAATTTATAATTTTGTTATTAGCTTATGTTTATTGTACAAAAGAACAGTCTTTACAAAATTCTCAAATGCCTGCTGGGTGGTGGTGCCACAGCCTTTAATCCCAGCACTCAGGAGGCAGAGGCAGGTGGGTCTCTGTGAGTTTGAGGCCAGCCTGGTCTACAAAGTAAGTTCCGGGACAGCTAAGGCTACACAGAGAAACCCTATCTTGAAAACAAAAAACAAAGCTTCTCAAATGTGCATGGCAAATTCTTGATCATAACTCACACCACCTGATTCTTCTTCCCTCCCTGCTTCTAGTGGTCCACTTTTTCTTTACAAAAGCCACCCTTCTACTTTTGTCTTATTACTTAAAATGAATAAAAACAAACCTATATTCTGCATATGAGAGAAAATACCATGTGTCTGAGTCTAAATCATTCTGCTCAACATAATGATTTCGGGTTTCATCCATTTTTATTCGAATGATATGATTTTATTCTTTTGTGAGACAGGGCCTCACTATGAAGCCAATGATGGTCTGGAACTTATCATATAGCTTGGCTTGGTCTCAAACTCACAGCAATGCCCTCCCCGCCCCCAGGCTATGGAATAGTCAGGCATGGTCACTCACATTCATAATCTCAGCAGTCGGGCAGCTGAGGTAGGAGATTAAGTTAGAAAAAGCCTAGGCTACATAATGAGTTCCAGGCTGCTACAGTATTAGATCCTGTCTCATCGTTTAAAAGAAAAAAAAAAAAGATTATGAACTGGAATAACTAAAACTCTGTGTGTCTGTCTCTGTATGTGTGTGTGTGTCTGTGTGGTGTGTGTCTATGTATGTGTGTGTTTTGCATGTCTATCTGTGTCTGTGTGGTGTGTATATTTGTGTCTGTCTATATGTGTCTATGTGGTATGTGTGTTTGTGTGTATGCCTATGAGTGTGTCTGTGTCTGTCTCTCTGTGTGTCTATGTAGTCTATATATTTGTGTGTGTGTGTATATATGCATCTACAAGTGTGTACACATATGTTGGTGCTGGGATTTGAACCCAGGACTTTCTGAATATCATAAACATGTACTGTATCACTGAGAAAAACCCACAACCCAACTAAAACAAGTTTGAAAGAGAGCAGGTCATGAGATGATTCAGAGAGTGAAGGGCTTGCTGTTCAAGCTCATGAGATCCCTGGAACCCATGTAGAGGTGAGGAACCCACGCAGAGGTGAGAGGAGAGAAACAACTCCACAAAGCTGTCGTGGGACCCCACATGAGTACCACAGCATTCGCTGCCCTCGATAATAAAAGTATTTTTTAGAGTAAGAGCAGAGAAACCAATCCATACATTCCAAGAATTACAGTAATTAAGACTGCAATTCGTGATATCAAGAAAGATAAAGAAACACAGATCAAAAGGCAAAAATGGAAGACCTCAGAGACAGCTCCACTCACGTATGCTCAAGTTTGATTTGATAAAGATACAAAGCAATTCAGTAGAGGAAAGAATAAACTTTAAAACAAATAATAGTGGAACAGTTTGGTATGTTCTGGGGAAATAAAACTCCACTAAACCTCACATATTACATAATGATAAACTTAAAATGAATTTTAACCATTACCTCACAAAGGACAACTGTCTAGAATACATAATGAACACTCTAAACTTAATGTCAGGACATCAAAAAACTAAGAGATAACATTAAAAAGGTATGAAGAGAAATTTCACCAACAGAAATACAGAGAGAGCAATAAGAACATGAAAAGATATTTAAATTGGAGTCGGTGTGATGGCTCAGTGGCTAAGAGCACCTGCTGCTGTTCTCCCAGAGGACCCAGGTTCAATTCCCAGCACCCTCATGGCAGCTAACAACCATTGCAACTCCAGTTCCAGGGGACTCCAATACCTTCCTCTAGCTTCCAAGGGCCCTAGGAACACATGCTGCCAAAATACCCATACATGGAAGCATATTTTGTTTATAAAGATGTTTAGGTCATTTGCTAAGGAGAAAATGCAAATTAACACCACAATGAAACAGCACTGTGTAGTTAACGTTACAAAACTAAATTCTGGCAATGGGACAGAGAAGATGGATCCCTCATACACTGCCAACAGACTTGTAAATTGGCACATGGATTCTGGAAAATTGGCAGTTTTTTTTTTCCAAACTAAATATGCAATTACTATCTGACTTAGCAGTTGTGATCTTGGGCATTTAGCCTAGAGAAACAGAAACTTCTGCCACGTC